TATCCCTTCAAAGTGCACACAAACTACATACACATTGGTCTATCACTTGATACTTCAAAAAAGTTCCCAAACAGTACGTTCTGCCCCTTGGAGAAAGAGGAACTGGAGCAGAAAACCTGAGAGAAAGCAGCATGAAGTGATTGCAAAGGACGAGGGGAAATAAGATGTGTATGAATTGCTGAACGGGAGGCTGGTGATCGGCCCTGTAAACTTTCACCCAGTCCACAAGAAAAAGTTAAAGGAGAGGGGCTGACTATTCACATATGGTTACATTAGAGGGGTTTGACCCAGGTGAGCTCTTGTAATCCTTTCCAACTCTTTGATTACATAGTCATGGGGGGCAGAGGGAGGGGACCTAATTTAAGAAGTAGAAAAGCCAAATGATTAAAAATGTTATTGTTAAGATCACTGGTACCTAAGCCAGAAGTTAAGGTTCTTTAATGGGTGCAAATTAAATTATAAATTCATTTAAAATCAAGATATGGATGAGGTATTCAGAAAAACATTAAATTTAAATATTAAGTTTCTCTTTGATAGGAATTCCTTACCCATTTTACTGTTTAAACAGTGTATTTGAGGCCTTTCAGCACAAGAGACTAATAAACATAGATTCAAGATATTAAATATTAAAACATACTGGGGGCGGGGAGAATGATTAACGGGAAAGGTTCCTATTTGGCTTTTTAATCTGCATTTTACCAGTTCCACTTGACATATTTAAAACATTAGTCCATGTATGACCTAAATTGGTCTCTGCCCAATAGCTTCCCAGCATGGCATTTATTCTCTTCGTGATCAGCAGTGCTCTTTGATTTCAGAAACAGGACTGGAATCACCTTGCAGAGAAGCACACTGTTTCCTGGGGCAATTCTTTTGGGGCACCTACGGATTTCCAAGTTGATGACCTCATAGGTGTATGACCTTTTGATTGAGCCGGTTGGGGGGGGGGGCGTGTTTCCATGTTGCCGTGTAAATCACCTGGGTAGGTATGCACTAACTACAGCCCATGGACCAAAAAAATAGTCACTATCTGCTTGTGTACAGACTGAGAGCTAGAAATGGTTTGTTTATTGTTAAATGGTTGGTGAAAATTTTTTCAGGAGAATATTTCATGTACATGAAAATGATATGAAGTTCAAAAAAATAATTATTGGAACAAAGCCAGTTTCTTTCTTTTCATACAAGCAGTACCTGTGAATGCTAAGCTGCTAGGCTAGCAGCTGTGGGTAGTTGTGATGGACCATTGGCAAAGCATCAGGCCCTTTCCAGAAAAGGTTCTCTGATCCTGGACTAAAGAGATTGTTAAAAATCTAACCCTGAAGACAAGGGTTCAGACTCAGTTGACCTGAACGGGGGCCCAAGAATCTACAGATTTTAAACCACTGCCCTCTGCCATTTGGATTCCAGTCGCCTGCAGAACTGGAATTGGGGAAAATTCTATTTCAGGTGGCCATTGGGAAAATCAAGTTTGAGGTGGTTGTTTGGGAACCAGGTGTAACCTGAAACATCCGAAGGGGCCCATTCATCTCTGCGTGTGGAGTATCTGAGCCCTGTGGTGTGCACAGGGGCCATGGAGTCTAGGGTTACTTGACAGAAAGCTGACTCCCCCAAACCATGCCTGGACCCCTTACATACTGGGCCTGGAGAAGACAGATCATGAAGAATAGGTCCTAAGAAAAGCCCTTCAACCAATTTCCCTCACTTACCCATCAGAGTCCAGTCCATCTCCAGAGCAACGAAGGCTCGCAGCGTTCATAGCTGGAGGCTGACAATCTACACACACTGTATATCCCTCTCGGAGGTACTGCATCCATCGCGTGAGAGGCCGGTTCTCCATCGCACAGTGATGAGTCAGCGACTCGGTCTTGAACTCCATACAGTATCTAGAGGAGAAAAAGAAGTAATTTTAACTTGCTGTCATTTGAGGACCAATCCTTTAGGTCTGTTATGCACCTGCCACTTTGTTGCATGTTGTTGGTGTTAGGCGCCATTGACTCAATAGCGGCTCTGTGTACAACACAGTGAAACACTGCCCCGCCTGCACCATCCTCACAATTGTTCTTATGTCTGAGCCCACGGTGGCAGCCACTGTGTCCATCCATCCTGTCATACACCGTGGTGGTTTGTGTGGGGGAGCTATGCCAACACCAGCAGGGTCATCTATTGTAGACCTGGGGTCCAGTTCTGACAGTGGACTGATGTAAACCGTATGGATCAGAACTGAACATTTTCTGACTTGCCTGACTTGGACATGCCATCAGGACGGATCAGTCGCTGGAAGAGGACATTATGCTTGGTGAAGGAGGCCAGTGAGGGTCCGTGAGACGGACTGACCCAGCAGTTACAATGATGGACTCGAACATGCTGGCGGATGTGAGGGTGATGTAGGACTGAACAACATTTCTTTCGGTTGTACATACAGTCACCGTTGACATTTACTTGATGACAGCTCTCTAGCGACTGATTTAGAGCAAAGGCTGTCCGTCCGAAGACTGACTGACTGGAGGAGGTAATTGAGTTAGTTAATTGTGCCAGCCTGGCCGATAATCACATGTGGGGCTGGTTGAAAGGCGGAGGGATAAATGGGTGGTGAAGCCTCGCCTTTCTAGTTCTCGGGTCTCTTGTTTTGTGATGGTTGCACCGGGTGTAGCTGCCTTAGCAGTTCCCTGCTTCAGCTTGCAAGATTGACTTCCTACAAGACATCCCCAAGGAGAAGCCGCATGGACCTATCCCGATGCAGCCCTGGGTGCTGGAGCAGCCGTGTGGAGACCCCTGCTAGTGCTGAGATGCTTATTCGTTCACTGACTCAGCTTTCCTCCTGCAGTTGGCATCATTGCCTCTGTTTTGTGAGGTGGAGGACTTTGTGGACTGGTGTTGGGTATGGGTTAATGTTGGACTTGTGGGCTTGGGTAGCATTGGGTTGGGATGTATTCGTGATGCACCTTTTCTTTACATAAAACTCTCTCTTATACATGAGTTGCTGTGGATTTGTTTCTCCTAAGTACCTAGACTAACACAGTAATGAATGCCTCTTCACAGCATACCTTGTAAAGTCTCTGGTCTTGGATTAGGAGTGACCACAACCCTGATTCTTTTCTCTCTGCTTCAGTCCATGCTTGGATCACCCAGTCCACATGATGCATGGCAGAAACCTGCCTATCCTCTACCCTGTAATCACACCACTAGATGGGGTGTGAAAACATGTTTTAGGGAACCGATCGCCCTTGCTTGTATTTTAAAGACTTGGGTAACGTGAACAAGAAATAGACACAAGGCTGGTCCTTGGCACTCAGGCCACTGTCCTCTTCCCCGGGGCCTTCCCCACACCCCCCCCCACCCCACCCCGCTAAGCTGCGTGATGCGGGAATGATCACCAAAGTCACATGAGCATCACAGATACAAGCAGAAACGGGCAGCTGAGACACAGTGTCTGCGGCAGAAATTGTTGTTTTTATTGTTAAGTGCTATGAAGTCGGTTCCCCCTCATAGTGACCCTATGTACTGTGGGATATAAAAAGACTTTTCCCCAGCTTTGTCTACCCCAAAGATATGCCAAACATTACAGGCTGTTTCCCAGCACGTGGTGGGAGGTCAGATGCTTAGAGATATTCTCCCTGAAGGCATTCAGACTGCTGTCTGGTCCACTGTAGGTATGAACCCTACTGAAAAGGTTAGGAATTGTTTCCATGGAGAGCCAGAGAATAGGTCACACTTGCTCAGGGACATCCAAAGTTAGGCTGCCTTCCTGAATCTAGGATCTGCCCATCTTGTCACATGTATACCCCCAATCCCTCCCCTTCCTATTTTGTGTATACCCTTAGATCTCCCCCTCTTATTACTGCATTACCTATAGTACAACCCCTTCCTGTGATGTATGTCTTTACCTGTAATTAGGGGGCCTGCATGCCCCAAAAGATATCTAAGCCTTGGTTAATAATAAATTTCTCTCTCTCTCCTGCAGTTCCCACTTTCCACATCCTCACGTGGACCACCAAGCAGGGCTGAGGTGAGCATGCTACTATGAAATGTGTCTGACTTCTTCATTTTACTCTATCCTATCTCTCTTATTCTCTATGACCTTACTGTAATCTTTACATATTACCGCTGTACAATTGTGCCTGCCGGGCCTGTGATAATTGGTTAGAGGCTGGCTCCCCTGACAATATACAATAGAAGGAAAGACTGGCCGGTCCTGCGCTGTCCTCACACTTGTTCTTCTGTTTAAGCTCATTGTCGCAGTCGCTGTGTCAACCCATCTTGTCGAAGGTCTTCCTCTTTTGCCCTGTTCCTCTACTTCACTAAGCGTGATGCCCTTCTCCAGGGACGGGTCTCTGCTGACAACATGTCCAAAGGGCGTGAGAGGAAGTCTCACCATCGTTGCCTCTGGGGAGCATTCTGATTGTACTTCTTCCAAGACAGATTTGGTTGTTCTTTTGGCAGTTCATGGTACTTTCAATATTCTTCACCAGCACCATAATTCAAATGCATCATTCGTCTTTCATCTTCTTTATGCCAATTCCTCCACATGCATATGAGGCAACAGAAAATACTATGGCTTGGGTCAGGTGCCCGTTAATCCTGAAAGTAGTGTCACCTTATACAGAGCTATGAGAAACCCTTAAGACTCTGGATGTGGCTCAACTCTGAAGGCCTTGAACAAGCAGCCAGACATGGGTGACATTTTTAGAGTCATCCACTGTAAAGTCACAAGTGTTACAATTCTTCAGGAAAGCAGACTTGCAAAAAGCCTCGTGTTGGAGGAGAGACGTTATTGGGGGTCTAACAATGCGGCAGTGGGTTCGTTTCTTATCTAAAAGGACGAGGAGCTGTAGGAGGTTAACTGGAATGTGTTTGGAGGGTCTGCTTCAAAGAATATCTTTCACAGTGACACCAGTACCAGTTGCCGTGGGGTTGGTTCTAATTGATGGTGGTCCATTTGAGTCAGAATTGACCTGTTGTCCTTCGTGTTTAAAACAGCTGATTTTTTCAGATCATCAGGCCTTCATTCGGTACCTCTGGGTGTCTTCAAATCTCTAGCCTTTCGACCAGAAGCTGAGTATCTTAAACACTACTGTGTTAGTCCAGGTTGAATAGAGAAATAAATCCAGGAATGTTCATGATCTGTATAAGAGAGAACTTTATATCAAAGAGTAATTATTGTATATTAAGAAAAGATCTTAGCCCAGTCCAGATCAAGTCCATAAGTCTGATATTAGCCCATATGTCCGATATCAATCTATAAATTCCTCTTCAGACTCACATAACACATGCAATGATGCCGAATACAGGAAGATCACCGGCCAGTGGGTGGAAAGTCTTGTGGATCCGGTGGCAGTAGAAGCATCTCAGCGCTGGGGTGGGTCATCTCCACATGGCTCCTCCAGCTCCAGGGCTCTGGCTCCATCAGCATAGCTACATCTGGCTTGTCATCCGGAATGTGAAGCAGAGTGTGTGTGTGTGTCCCGCCTCCAGGGAGGAAGACAGGAGTTCTCAGCATCCTCAGGAGAAAGCCATGCCCACACAGAGGCATGATTTTGACCTGATTGACAGGCTAGACTCCACCCCTTCACTCAAATTGGCAGGAGATTATGTAACTGTCACAACCACCTAGGGTGGTTACATCACTGCGCCAGACACCCCAAACCCGTTATATAACAACTCCAGAAAACCAAAACCAAATGCACTGCCACCAAGATAGTCAGACTCACAGTGAGCCTATAAGGTTTCCAAGGCTGCAAAACATTACGGAAGCAGAGAGCCTCATATTTCCCCTTCAGAGTGCCTGATGGATTTGAACCCCTGACCTTGCAGTTGGTGGCCCAACACTTAGCCAGCAGCACCACGAGGTAGGTCATATTTATTAGGTGAAAAAACACACACACACACACTGTGGTCACTGAGTTGATTCTGACTCATAGCAACCCTACAGCACAGCGTGGAACTTTCCCCAGAGTTTCCAAGGCGATAGTTTTTATGGAAGCAGGCAGCTACGTCTTTCTCCTATGGAGCAGTTGATAGATTTGAACCATCAACCTATTGGTTAGCAGCCAACCCACACCATGGCTTCCTGTTTAGTAGATACTTTTAGGTATTGAAGGAACAACGTTGGGGCATTTTATTCCCATAAACAGTTACAGTCTCAGTAACTCAATTCTACCCTGTCCTATAGTGTCGCTATGAGTCAGGATTGGTTGCGTGGCAGTGAGTGAGTTAGGTATTGGAAGGAGCCCTGGTGGTGCTGCTGGTTAAATGTTAACCACAAGATTGGCAGTTCAGGCCCACCAGCTACTCCTCAGGAAAAAGATGAGGCTGGCTGTCTTGGAGGCCCTATACAGTATATGGTATGTGGTATATACTAATGTAGTATACAATAATTAATATATTCCACCCAGGAGTCCTGGTGGCAGAGTGGTTACATGTTGAGCTATGATCTGCAAGGTCCACAGTTTGAAACCAAGGAGGTTCTCTGTGGGAGAGAGGTGGGACTTTTTATTTCCATAAACAGTTACAGCCTCAAATCCACAGGGACATTTCTGCCCTATCCTATAGGGTCGCTCTGAATCAGCATCAACTCGATGACTGATATTCCACCCACCGTCCTCCAGTCAATGTGGACTCATAGTGACCCCCATAGGGCAGGATCGAGCTGCCCCTGTGAGTTTCTGAGACTGACTGTTTGTGGGCAGTAGAAAGCCTCATCTTTCTCCTTCCGAGTAGCTGGTGGTTTTGAACTGCTAAGATCACAACACAATGTGTAACCACTGTGCCCCCAGGCCTCCTCTATGTAGTGCATAATGCATAGTGTGCAATGGACAGTATATAAGGAGCCCTGGTGGTGTACTGGTTCTACACTGGGCAGAATGGTTGGCAGTTTGAAACCAGCAGCAGCTCCTCGGGAGAAAGATTGGGCTTCCTATTCCCATCAACGGTGACCGTCTCGGAAACCCACAGGGGTCGCTATGAGTCAGCACGGACTCGGTGGCAGTGAGATAGAGGGCACCGTGGACATTGTGCTGGGACCCCCGGGATAGCAGTGGGCTTTCAGGCCTTGGGGTGGGAAATGTGACGCAGCCTGAGCCAGCTTCAGAAATGTCTTCAGTGACAGTTCCTCATTAAAATCTGACCACAGCACCATGTGCTTGATAGCAGTGTCCTTAGTTGTGGGTTTTTAAGGTAGAAAATGGAGGCGGGACAGGTTATCCAAACATGATGGTCAGTGAGGGGCAGCGTGGGGAGCTGGTCCTGCTTGTCAGAGTGCACTTCAGATGAGCATGAGGGTTTCCTATCAGCCGGTGCCACTGTGTCTTTCTTCACGGGAAATCCTCAGAGTCGACGGGTGCACCACTTTTAAAATACCAGCGGCGATGCTGGGCAGTCCCATGAAAACTGCCAGGGCAGCATCCCAACTGTGATGGCTAAGGAGTTTGTCTCTCTTTGTTGGAAATCAGACCTCGGAGGCCAGGGGTTCTCCACCTTCCTCATGCTGCGACCCTTGCAGACAGCTCCTCATGTGGTGGGGATCCCCAACCAGAACATTATTCTCGTTGCTGCTTCATCACTTAATGTTGCTACTGTTATGAACCATAGTGTAAATATATGAAATGCAGGATGTATTTTCATTGTTACAAATGGAATATAATTAAAGCATACTGATTAGTAATCACAAAACAATACATAATGATATATTGTGAAATATTTATGTGTTTCCCAATGGTCTTAGGCAACCCCTGTGAAAGGGTCATTTGACCCCCCCAAAGGGGTCGAGACCCACAGGTTGAGAACCTGTTGTAAACAGATAAGTCTACCTGTCTTCCACAAAATAGGGAGGGGGTAAATCCTTTCCCAAGTCTGTGAGGAGGAGTCCTGTCTTACCTAAAAAGTCAATGAGAAAAGTCAACTGTCAAACCAAATGGACTCTTTTGTAATGACCTGGCCAAATGCATAAGTCAAAACCCCCCAAAGACCAAGTTACCCAGGATCCTCTGTGCCTGTAGACCACTGCGGAGAAGAGGTATGTCTTGTTCGCTCCTTGTGGAATGCAGAGGCAGTTATGAAGGCAGGGGCTGAAAAGGGCAGAGTGACATTTAGAACACATGGCGACTCAAGTCCTCAACACACTATTTTCCAAACTTGGCTACGTGCCTATATTTCCAAGTCCAGAGGTCTGTGGCCGAGCATTCAAGAGGGGAAAGGGCTAAGGGACAGGGTCCAGAAAAACCCCATGCGTGCGCATGCCGCCGGTACAGAAGAGAACGGCAGGCCTTTGCCAAGCACGTTTGTCTGCAGTAATGAAAGCTGCGTGGAAAAGAAGGCAGGGAGACAAAAGAAACAGCAAAAGGAAATACTGAGAGCCGGAAAAACCGAACATCAAACTCCCAGCCCTCGAGTCATGACAACGCAGAGCCCCCTACCCAGAGGACAGGGTAGAGCTTCTCCTGTGGGTTCCCGAGACGAACTCTTTATGGGAGTCGAAAGCCCGCCTTTCTCTCAGAGAAGAGGAAAGGAGCTAGGAAGTCTTCCTCCTAAGTCTGCTCCCTCTCGTTTCATCTCGCTTACCTGTCTTCCTATTTTCATCCCTGGGGAGGCATCTGTTACTATGGTACCTGGAGGTAGGCCCTGAATTCCCTCTGCTGTCAACTCCAGGAAGGCAGAGTGTTGCCCTGTCCATCACTGCACCTCTCACGCCTACACGCCAGCATCTTGTGCAGTGGACGAATGGGTCAATACGGGAATGCCACCAAGGTGCCCCGGTCCTATTCCCCTGTGGTCTTCTGTTCCTATACTGCGATGGGGATGGCTACACGGTCTTTCTCATCCTTGGTTTCCGAAACAGAACGATCTCAGGAAGGGCCCTTTGCAAGCTGCTGTTGTCTGGTGAGACACCGACGTCATTAACAGTGTACGGCAAGCAGTGTAAGGATACTAGGTGCAAAGTAGACGCTTCATGCCCACACTTTCTTTTTATCTGACTCCTTACTTTCCTGGTGAAATCCTGGTGGGGTGGGTTAGTGCTGGACTGCTAACTTCAAGGCCGATGGTCAAACCCACCAGTCACTCCTCAGGTGAGAGATGCGGCTGTCTGCTCCCAAAGAGTTAGAGCCCTATATAGCAAGGCTTCTTATGCTTTGTCCAGCCTGATCTCCTTTTACCCGAGAAATGTACAGCACAGGCAAGCACTGCCAGAATCCCCTCAGGTTCATTGTGCATTTGATTTTGAATTAATTTGGGGACCTTGTGTGTTCAGAAACTTTTTGCTGTTGCCCATTTTTTCTTCACAACCTACAGTTTAAGAAGTTTTGCTACCTAGGGTTATTATGACTAAAATGGACTGTGGAATTGGCGAGGAGTTTGGTTTTTGAGAATTCTGTTTACCCACGCCATGCCCAGTGTCAAAGAGTCCATTCTGACTCAGTGACCATACAGGGCAGACTAGGGTTCCCCACACCAAGTCTTTACAGGAGCAGAGGGTCAGAACGAGGGCACAACAAGAAGGATGTAATCGGTGCCGCCGCATCGCACAGGTAGAAATTTGAATTGGTGAGTGTTCTGCTTTGTAAACTGTCAGTAAGAACAACAATAAAAAAAGTCTTTTAAAAAAGTTATGACATTTTATGCAACGTATTGCCCAGAGAATGTTTAGATTCTCTTTCATACCTAATCACAACCTTTGGTGTGAAGTCACGTTTAGGGAAGGAGGGAACCACCTCATCTGAGTCACCTCAGGCCAGGTAAGAGGGGTGGGGGATGGAGGTGGGAGAGGCTGCTCAGGGAGGGGCGCCTCTGCTGACAGTAGGCACAGAGATTCCTGCCTGAAGTACTGCTATACTGGTGTGTGTATAGCCTGCTGAGTTAGCAAAGGACTTTCATATGAAAAGTCACTGATCTCCCCAAGCACTGCATAAACCAAAGCAAACTCCCTGCCATCCAGGGGCCCTAGGACAGGGCAGACATACCCCCTGTGGGTTTCTGAGGCTGTAATGCTTTATGGGGGTAGAAAGCCTCATCTTTCTCCCACAGAGCAGCTGGTGGTTTTGAACTGCTGACCTTGCTCTTAGCAGCCAGTGAGTAACTACTATGCCACCAGGGCTCCCTAAAGGGGTGTTATTCTAACCTTCCAAAAACTAAAACAAAAAGCTACCATTAAATTGATTCCAACTCACAGTGAGGGTCAGGACAGGGCAGAACTTCTGGAACTGGAAGTTTCTGTGAAAGGAGAAAGCCTCGTCTTTCTCCCACAGAGCAGCTGGTGGTTTCAAACTGTTCCCCTTGCAGTTAGTTAACAGACTTATGTGTAACCCACCACGCGCCATCCCCAAAATTCCTTATCCCAATGGTACTCATCTCAAAACACAGCCACAGAGAGCTTCAATACAGAAGAGATCAATAGGAAGTGTTTAATTAAACAAGAATTCCAACACAGAAGGCAGCTTTGGTTTTTCAGCCCTACTGTCCCTGGGTGATGCAAATGATGAACAAGCTTGCCTACTAACCAGAAGGTTGGAGGTTCAAGTTCACCCAGAGACACGTAGGAGGACAAGCCTGGTCATCTGCTTTGGGACTGCAGTCATTGAACACCCTATGGTTCTACTCAGACCTGCATGGCGGTTGGATCCGTGCTCAGTTTCAAGCCTCTGAGGTTGTGGCACATAATAAAACACGCCAGCAACCTGGCCTTGTCTCCTCCACCCCACTCTGGCCCTGAAGGGTGCTTGCTTTGGTAGCATACCCTATGGAGAGGGTATCCTACCCTTTCAAGGGTCTTTAGTAAATCAGACCGGGCGTCGGATTGCCTGAGGTCATCAGACCAACACTTCTTTTTTATATTCCCCGCAAGGCCATGGTTTTTCATTTCTAAGTTATGGTCAATAACTTAGAGATTGCCTGCCTCCGTTCCACGTCTACTTTTGTGTGGAAACACATAGGGGCAGATTGTCCACTAAGCACGGGCTCATTCATGTTTACTCACTGTAGTGAACAGTTTCACAATCATTTTGGATTAGATTTCACAACTGTTCATTACAGATTAGTAAATAAACGCGTGTAAAGCAGCACTTACTTTGCTTCTTGGTTAATCAGACCCTAAAAGCCCACCGCCTGTGCCCAGGATAGAGAGGCTCAGTAAGTGTTCATTTCCATTCCTTCCCCCTTTTAGTCAAACGTAGTGTGGGCTTCCCTGACAGGCTGTGTGCTGGCTCCTGGAGTCCTCTCAGGCCACCATTGTTCAGTTTCACAAGAACTTCGGCACGATACCTCATGTACTTACTTTGAAGGTCAAAGTAAACTTTGGTTTTCCTTTGAGAATTTCCTAACACCTTCTGACACGTTAAGAACCAAACCAACCCCACTGCCATTGGGTTGATTCCAGTGTATAGCAGCCTCTACAGGGTTTCCAAAACTTAATCTTGACAAAAGCTGACGGCCTCATCTCTTTCCCTGGAACGACAGGTGGGTTAGAACCGCTGACCTTTTGGTTAGCAGACCAGTGTCTAACTCACAGCACCACTAGGGCTCCTTGCTGACACAAGGGGTATCACAAACTCAGGTGTGGAATCCCCGATTCTTGGTCTGTAGATAGATGATGATGAGACTAAAGTGAATAAAGTGAAAACTGAACAAGAAACACACATTTGGAAGCAAAAAGCATGAATGCACATTGAGATACTTTGTGGCAGACAATGCATATGAACAGCTGTCAGTGAGATGCAGTAAATTCAATATGGTTTTTAAAAATTGTCCTCATGATATGAAATATCATTGTGATACAGATTAAACACGGATGAAACAAAAACAACAACAAAAAAGTATCTACTTGAGTGTGAAAAAGCTTCACTGGTCTTGTTTCATTCATTGAGATTTTTAAGGCTGTGCATTTTAGCTGGTGGGTGAGCTGGTAAGCCTCTAACCACTGCACCACCCCACCTCCTTTCTGGCCTCACAGTGCCTTTCTATTTGCATCCATTCCCCAGAATCTGTGGAGCCCTAGTGGCGTGTTGGTTAGGAGTTGGGGTACGAGTCACAGGTCCACCCTTAGAAACCACCAGCTGCTCCACGGGAAACAGACAGGGCTTTCTACAGCCGTGAAACCCCCCAGGGCAGCTCTACCCTGTTCCTTAGAGGGTCACTATGAGTTGGAATCAACTCGATGGCAGTGGGGCTTTTTGCTTTTACATTGCAATTTTAGCGCTAGTGAGACTGGTTAGCAGCAAAGTGATGTCAAGGGGGGGAGCCTCATTGGTTGTTTGTTTTTAAGAACTGAAAGACCCAGGCTGAAGTTCCAGTGCCCTTCAGTGAACCCCAATGACCTGTCTACTACATGGTGGCAGCCAAAGTCATGACCCTCCAATGGTGTCTGCGATTGTCCTACTCCACCTATTCCTCCTAGCCAAGGGAGTCTGGTCAGAGATGAAATAAAGCTTGCTACTCAACTGACCATAATACAGGAAGATTCGTGATGGATTATGTAGGCAGGATCAAGCCTCATCATTCTCTCTTGGAGTGGGTGGTGGCTTTGAACTGCTGACCTCAGGTTAAAAGTCTAGCACTTTACCCAACAGTAACACCAACACCAACACCAACAGCAAACTCGGTGCCATCGAGTCCAGGCTGCCTCCTAGCACCCCTGTAAGACAGGGTAGAACCGCCCCTGTGAGTTTCCCGGGCGTAACCTTTATGGGAATAGAAAGCTCCATCCTTCTCCCTCTGGGCAGCTGGTGGCTTCGAACTGCTGACCTTGGGGGTAACAGCTCCACACATAGCCACTGCCACTAGAGTTCCTAACAGGAACTACAGTAGAAGATAAACTCAAGTACTCCTTGGTGTTAGGTACCCTGGAGTCAATGTCAACTCATGGTGACCCCTTGGGGCCACAGGGTTCTCTAGGCTACAATCTCTGTCAGAGCAGGCAGCGGCCAGGTGTTCCCTGGAGGAGCCCCTGGGGTGAGGGTGGGGTGGGGTGGCACTACCTGCCTTTAGGTTCGCAGCTGAGCACTTAGGGGCAGCAGGGCTCCTTAGAGCGAGCCTGACTGGACCCTTAACCACCCTGTGTGCCACATCAGCGCCCGTCTATGTCCCACACTGACAGACTGATGGACTGAGTTTCCTAAGCACCACGATAACACTCACTCTCATTATCTCATCCGTGCACACTCGAGCCATCCATCGGGGGAGGAAAAGGGTGGCCGGGAACGGGGAGGCACACAGTCCAGCCAGCGTTTCCTGAGCTTCCTGTCTCCTTTGGGCAGACATTGCCCACCCCACTCCCTGCAGCGCCTGGAACGTTCCCTCCACCACCACCACCACCACCACCACCACCACCACCACCACCCACCACCCCCACCGTGGCCTCCTAGGGGGGAAAGGGCGGAAAGGCACCCGAGAGAACAGCGAGGGGAGGGAGGCAGCTGCAGTACCAAAGGCGTGCCCGCAGTCGTGGCCCTGGGCCGTGGAGTACTCCAGGCAGCCGGCTCGCTCCTCCAGCGGTGGGCACGGCGCCCCGCCGTTCTGAGGCTCCTGCTGCACCGGGCGCCTCCGCACGCGGGCCGCGGGTCTGCACTGGGCCGCACAACCGCTCCAGGGGCTCCACTCCCCGACGAGGCACGGGCGAGCTGCAAAACAGCACCGGAGACCTGAGCACAGCAGCCCGGGCAGGTGTGGCCACCCCCATAAACATTCCGCTGAACAAAGCCTCAACCCGCCCTGCTGCCACCCTGAAGGCTAACTGATGGCTGGCCAGGCACCTCTCCCCCAGGCAGGGAGGGGATCTGAAAGTGGTTAGGGGCCAAGGTCCCACTGAGGTCATGAGATCCAGGCTTGGCTGTTAAGGGCACTACCGCACATATTTCCAGGAGTTTGACCTCATTCGGCCTTGCCCGTGCCTTTGTTTATTTGTATTATAACAGAACACACATTCACTGTGGAAAACGTAAAGGAAAACAGGAAGCCTGAAAAGCACCAATAATTGCATTACCTACCCAGATCATTGAAAAAACCGACCAAACAAAAGAGACCATTTCAGTGTGATTTCAATAAAAGTTTCCGGAGCAAGTTGGTTTTCCACTCAACACTTCGGACATGTTTTGTTTCCTGACACTGATTGTACCAGGCGTATCGCCGCTCCCACGTTTCCTTCATTCCTATCCCATCCTGGCTTCTGGGCTTTGTCCCTGGGCTAACACTACTCTCTTGGGGGTCCTAAGAAGCGCTGTAAGGAGCACTGGTGGTATAGTGGGCTTTTGAGCTGCTAATTCCAAGGTCAGTGGTTCAAACTCATCAGTCACTCTTCAGGGGGCAAATATGGCTGTCGACGCTGGTAAAGATGAAAAAGTCTTGGAAATCCAAAGGGGCAGTTCCATTCTGTCCTATAAGGTCACTGTGGGTTAAAATGGACTGATGATAGTGAGTCTAGTAGCATTGGTCACCTTCCCAGGTCAAATCTTATTACCAAATGTGCTTCCTAATGAGAGTTGACTTAGGGCAACACCAAGAAGCCTCCAAATCTGAGCTTCTTCTGGATGCTCAATTATCTTCTTTCCTGGCTCCTAACCATTGGCAAACCAAACCCATTGGCATGGAGTCTATAGGCCAGAGTAGAAGTGTAAATCTTTACAGAAGCAGAAAGCCTCATCTTTCTCCCTCGGAGCGCTTGGTGGCCTTGAACAGCTGGCTTTGTGGCTTGCAGCCTGATGCTGTCTCTACCAGTATTCCATGGCTCACAGACACGTAGAACCTGAGAGGTGGGGTATAGAGATGAGCCGCCAGGGCACAGAGAAGTAAAGAGACTCAGAGTCATGCATGATGTGGCAGAGGCAGGGTGAGAATGTGACCTTAGCATCTAGCCCCTTCTATGGCTTTCTGCTCCTTTGCACATTAGCTAGGCTTCGGAGCCCAGCTGGCCTCTCAGGAGCCAGGTGGGGCATGGCTGCCTCTAAAGGCCATCACAGTGTCGTTGTCAAGCCTGGCTCAGTAATTGTGAAGTTCACTGACTAAACCTAAAGACGGAATTTAAAAACTCAATTTCCTGGCAAGGGCCGTAAAATCAATGTGGTTTCGCGTTTAATTTTCCAGCTTCAAACCCTAATGAGGCTTTAAACCCTAATGAGACTGAGATGCAATTTTTAATGGAATCGTTTCAGGCCTTGAGAATGGAGATAAAATAAGATAGAAGGAGAAGAAGAAGATGGCAGAAAACGAGTCTGTGAAGTAGATGCCCCAAATCGTTCAGGTTTTCTTTTCACAAACTGTGACTCACTTTCCCCATCACCCTCATCCTTGCCAGTTTATAGTGTTTCGGCAAGAAAGCGCCCTGACTTCCCCGAGGCCTCCATTTGGACTCTCTACAGCTTGTACTTGAAAACTCATTTTGCCTCTTAGCACACTCCAGTTTAGGGTTCATGGCTTTGGGACCACGCGGTATTTGGCAGCTAATAACTACCCCTGACGTGGAAGGGTTGCAAACAATTTAAACATCTGTCAGTAATTCAAAAAAAAAGTAATAACTGTTTTAAAGCATGCTTTCATCCATCATCTAAAAACCCACAGGTATCACATGTCAATTACCTACAGAACTAAGAACAGGCCACGTCAGAGTTCATTGCCAATATCCGCCACGTATCTGTAGCCTCTGGAAAATCGGCCACAGGTCACTTATTGTTCTTGTCATCTCCTGTTGACCCCTCCCCCTTTTATTTTAATGGCTCCATGATTTAGCTGCTCTATAGAACTACAAGCATTTAAAGAGTGC